AAATTTTTAATTGCTGTCACACAATTTGTTTTCGGCGTGTTTCTTTCCACCTCTATGACTCAATGTCGAGCAATGGCGGGATAAACGCGTTTTCCCCAATTTGACTGGTCAGAGTTTGTTCCGACAACGAGACAACGGCATTTCTTTTAAGAAATACTAACACACCTTTTAACTACTTTTTCGGGCTGCAGTCCTTAGGATGAAAAAATACCGGACAGAACACGCTAATTATTGTCCAAAATGGCCACGTGATCTCTGGAATTATAAGTATGGGGGTAGCGTTGCTAAGCAGTTCTGTACGTGATTGTCACTTAAAGTTCTTTTTAGCGATTTGTTTTTCAGTTATGAAGTGACATCAATAGCTTTACTGCGTATTCAAGTGTGAATAGCCATCTGGCTACCCTCCAAAAGGGTATTTGTTTTAGCAATCAGTATTCTATCATGTATACACACTAGTGTCCGTAATTAACACACGGGCCGGTGCTAAATACATCGACACCTAATCGTACGTTTGTAGTCTTTGCTCACCGATTTGGATTTGTGGAGCAGTCAGTGGTCGATTTTGAATGGAGCCTAATTATTGTCTAGAGCCTAATAGTATAATAACAAGCTCAGTAGCCATTCAAAAGTCAAGAATGAATGGATCCGTTAATTAATCGATTCCATTTCTCTAGCTGGGGACACGTTGTATGACTTACACGACAAGTAGTCCCAATCAAGGCTAGGCTACTAGGCAGACATTACCCATAATGCTAGTCCTCTTTCCTGGGGAAGCAATGGCCGATAAGTGAGTGAGGACTAAGAAGCAGACTTTATCCGTGCCATCGGCATTGCTGTTGAACGTCCAAAACCTTATGTTCATGAGGGAATTGTTTTTTATAAGCTGTTCTTTGATTTTATTGGGTTACATTTTTGAGAAAACCATTTAAAGGGCGCGATGATGAGTCATGATCTTGTCATGTTTGGTCCCTCGAACCTCGAGATTCGTCACGAGAAAAATCGCTATTTTGAAATTTTGTAGAGCAGGAATTGTGGTCGTTTCATTTTCAAGAAATATTCCCAGTAAATTACTATTGAATGATGTAGCTCAGCGTAGCTTTCGGTCGGGAATTAGACGTTTTGCCGTGATTAAAACGGGGGAATGTTCTTATATTCTTTGCTGTTTAATTTCACAGAGAGAAGGTTCCACGTGTCCCCGAAACTCTCCTCAAAAAGAGGAAGAGTTTAGAACAATTGAAGGCTGCCAGGGCTAAAGCACAACTAGCGCAGAAAAAGGTTGGTAAAATTCCTCTTTTTCTTGCGATACATCAAACTGTAGTTAAGTTAGTGAACGTTTGAAGTTGTCCTTTAGTTACATGTTGATGAAATGGACGATGCGATTGAGAACTTGATCAGCTGTATTTTTTGTTTTATTCCAAGCCTTGGCCGATATACTGCTTATATGACTCCTAACGGGATATTTTGTTTACATTCCTTGACAATGGCGAGATCGGAAACCATCGTAGTTTAGAGTTTCAACAAATTTTAACCATGAAAATATCTTCATATTTAGAGTATGATTACTCTACACTTTGATTTATTAAATTTTGGATCCAATGTGGCATCCAGTGGGTTGGCCCTCGCTGGCTCTGTCTAAATGGCCTTAAGGAGCTGAGTGTCCTTGAGACACAACTCATGATGTCTGTTCCTTGCCATGTCATTGGAGATTAAGGCTGCCCACTATCTTTTTTTAAGGATCTGATTTGGTGCGGTACATTGTATATTCCTTGTGCTTCCCAGAGTCACTATGCGACTGTGACTGGGGGGATAAACCATACAATGGACATTTTAAGTAGAACACAGACAATTTGTTACAGTTTTTTATTTAACAATTATTCGCCGAAGGCGAGGTGAGTATTGTCAGATAATCCCCTCGACTTCGTCTCGGGGACTATTCAACAATATTCACGGAACCTGTGGCGAATAATTGTTTTAGTATAATTTCAGAGCTGAACAACAGAGAAATTTCTAAAATTGTAACATTTATTAACATTTTAGTTAAACAATTTATATAAACCGCGCGGAGCGGTTTATATAGCGTCATATAAGGAACTGCTCGAACAATCAGATTGCTGGAAACTCTTTGTTCAGCTCTGAAATTATACTAATTTATTTTGTTCACAATATCTGTGTACTATTGTCATTGAATGAAGTTACAATTTTTGTTTGTGTATTTGAATCAAAGGTGCGCAGAGAAAAACGCAAAGAAATCTTCAAGAGAGCAGAGAAATATGTGAAAGAGTACCGCCAACAAGAGAAAGATGAAATTCGAATGAAGCGCATGGCAAGAAAGCATGCAAACTTTTATGTTCCGGCTGAAGCCAAGCTTGCTTTTGTAATCCGTATCAGAGGGTAGGTTGTCTTTTTACATTAACAAGTGTATTAGAAGAACTGGGTAGATTTCAGGCATTTTTGCAATGCAGTAAAGCAATTTAATTTTCTTTTAATCCAAGCTTTTGCCAATCAAGGGCTTTTATGATTACTTGACACTTAGATTGATTGAATTTTGTAAATTTTTGATCCAATGTGACATCCAGTGGGTTGGCCCTCACTGGCTCTGTCTTACGGCTTTTAGGAGCTGAATGTCCTTGAGGCACATTACCTATGATGCCTGTTCCTTGCCGTGTCATTGGAGATTAAAACTATCCCCAGTACCCCACTGTATCTGGGAACTGGTTTGGTGTAGTGTTCTGCATATTCCTTGTGCTTCCCAGAGTCACTATGTGACCTTGACTGAGGGGATAAACCATGCAATGAACAGTTACTATAGTTTGTCTTCTAAGGAAGATTTTTTGCAATTTTTTTGTTTTCCTTTGTCTACTGTTTCTTGTTCTTGTGTGTGGTTAGTGACAGTTTTTCATTATAAGATATGGCTAAATATTTACACTGAAGTAATTTTTTTCTCTTTTGCTGTAGTATCAATGGTGTGAGCCCTAAAGTGCGAAAAATTCTCCAGTTGTTCCGTCTTCTTCAGATCCACAATGGTGTTTTTATTAAGCTGAAGAAGGCCACCATGAACATGCTGCGAGTTGTGCAACCTTATGTTGCTTATGGGTCTGTAAATTTTTTCTTCTCTGTAATTTGTACTCTGGATAATTTTATCTTATTTCATTGTAAAAAGAACATCCAACGTGACATCCAGTGGGTTGGCCCTCGCTGGCTCTGTCTTAATGGCTTTTGGAGCTGAGTGTCCTTGAGACATACAACTCATGAAGTCTGTTCCTTGCCATGTCGTTGGAGATCAAAACTGCCCTCAGTATCTCTTTTTTTTTTTTTAAGTGAATTGGTTTGGTGCAGTACACTGTATATTCCTTGTGCTTCCCAGAAGTCACTATGTGACCTTGACTGGGGGGATAAACCATACAGTGAACATCTTTAATACMTTTTTTTTTTTTCACTTTTTACATGTGCACACATGTAATTGCTTACATGTAGGGTAGCCATAGCAGGACTCGACACTAACTTTTCAACATACTAGCCAAGTGGCTTAGATTTTACAACAATTTCAGTTAGTTTATTGGCCAAACTGGCCAGTGGAAATTGAAAACCACAAGTAAAAACTGAATTTCTACCCTGTGGCTGGTTGGCTACCGTTAGTGTGGAGCCCTGCATAGAAAAATGTTGTTTTTGACCACATAACTAATCTTGAGGAGTGATTAACACGTCACTTCTCCCTAAAATATCCATAATTATATCATCTAGCACACAGGTACTGAGAATACTTAAACTTATAGGGTAGAACTTGTCATCTTGATCTGACACTAAGTTCTTGTAACTAATTTATAAGGAAATGTGTGGCAGCTAGAAGTGAGATTTAACAATCAGATCTTGGGAGTTAGAGGGTTAACAGTTAAGCCCTTGAAACAGTTGTTTTCTTTTCCTGTGTTTTTATAATTCAAGATAATGTTATATGTAAACCTTACAGATTTTTACATATTATACCTGACACATGCAAAAAGCATTATTTGAGGTAACAAATCTACCATTATTGTTTTAGTTATCCCAATCTGAAGAGTGTGCGGGAGTTGATCTACAAGCGTGGTCATGGAAAAATCAGAAAACAGCGCATCGCCATCACAGACAACTCAATCATTGAACAACAACTTGGAAAGTTTGGTATCATCTGTGTGGAGGACCTCATCCATGAGATCTATTCTGTTGGTGAGCATTTTAAGGAGGCTAACAACTTCCTATGGCCATTCAAGCTCAGCTCTCCAAAGGGTGGTTTCCGTAAGATGACCACGCACTTTGTTGAGGGAGGTGACCATGGAAACCGCGAAGACAAGATCAACCAGCTCATTCGCAAGATGAACTAAAGCCCTGTGTAGAATAAAGCAAAATAAAATGTTTCCATCAACCTTCTTGAGTAAACTAATAAAATTGTCAACAACATTTTTGCAGTTTGTCTTTTCTCATGAACACCAAATACCATAAATCTGCTTACTGAAAGGGTTAGCATGAAAACCTGCAGGGCTCTTGAGGTTGGTCTTTTTTACTCCATTAGCCACTCATTGTTAGCACTAACAAAGAGACCCAATTGAGGTTTTGTTTTCCCAGCAATCATTTTTTCCTTCTTGACTAGCCACAGAGAATTAGGAGTAAGCCTGTGTTGAGAAAGGACTCAAACTCTTGCAGAGAATTCTTTCTTTTCATTTCTTTTCTTTTCTTGAGAGTGAAGTAGGAAATTTACAACCTCGATTATTAACTTTATATGAAACAGGAAATAGCCATCAACATATGCTTGTTAACGTGGTGGAGGAAATAGCATAGCACACCCTATGCAGCATTCCCCAGTATTAATAAACGAGTGTGTAATAAGCTGAATGGGTGATTTCTAAACAATTTACACGGACTTTAATCAAAACGTAACATTTTGACATACTGTATCAAACGATTACCGGTATGGATACACGGCGTTTATGCCACTTTACGCAGGGTCCTGGGTATGAACTTGAAAAACATGGCGGATGATAGTGAGTGAAGTGTCCCACAGCGGACCACGAGAACGTATTAGATCTCGTAATGGCTCAAATGAGAAACTCTGGCCCTGGTGCTCTTCTGAAATCTAAGTAAGTCTTTCTACAGCATCGAGGAGCTAAGGGTTATTAGAAACTTGTAGTTTTGTTGAAAAGGCAGCAGAATTGATCATCTGGCACGTGCGCGCGTGTTGTGAAGGCTGTTCACTAAATTAGCGAGGGGTTCTATTTCAGCCTTACCGACTAAGATAGCAATTTTTTTTTCTGTAGTTACGAGGTGTCCTCAAAGATTGATGCATTCTACACTGGAGGCAAAGTACAGGTAAACTTATGCTTGCTTGTCTTCTTAAGATCGGGCCTAAATTTATTTATTATGGGCTTACTGGTTACATATATAATTTTTGCGAAGATACGTGTATTTTCCTCGATCCCTCCCATGATGACCTTAAATTTTTCATCTTGATTTCCTAGTTCTCATCCAAGGAAGACCACTTGTTCTGTACGTGCAATGACAAGGTTCAAGTTGTTCACGTTGAAACTGGCAAGGTTGTTCACACTCTGCAAGAGGTAAGAAAAAAAAATTCAGAACTATTATCCTTGTCGTTTGAGGTTTTAACTTGATTTTTGACGATATCGGTCGCTATTCAAAGCTAAGTGAGACTCCATCAGCTTACAAGTTAAACTGACCCCCTTCTTTTTTAGGAAGGTGATGTTATAAGCTGCTTTGCTGCAAGTCCTGATGACAAGGTATATTTCAATTTGATAACTCTAAGTCCCTAGATCGACGTGGCCAGTGGAGGGGAGTTCACTGTTATAACTGTCACTTTGTTATATTTCCCAGTTCTGTGTAACGGCAAGTAAAAGTTTGCTCCTGAGACAGTGGGAATGGAACACTGGAGAGCAGATACGAACTTGGAAAGTAAGTATAGTTCCATTTGTTTTAGGCTCCTTTGTTATATTTTACATTAATTTTTGTATGTAACGATACTCAGCTGCCAGGTGTTGTATATACGATATCCAGGAGTTGGCCAAAACCTAGCCAAAAATTAATCTTTAAGTTCAGTGTACATTATTAAGCTTGCAAATCTTGAAGCAGTTTTAAATTTGTATTATAATCTATTAAAAAAAATCTTTGTCGTGTACCTGTATAATTATGCACTGTATATTGTAGGCTGTCCATAGAGCTCCTATCGTTGCAATGACCTTTGACACCACATCAACACTTTTGGCAACTGGTGAGTAAACCTTTAACCCTTCACATGTTTTCTAGACATTTTATAAATTTTGTGCTAGTAGGGAGAATTTGTTTAAAAATTAAGAGCTCTTAACTCTTTACACCCTGACATCAGTATGCATATTCTCCTTACTGTACTCTATAGATTTTATAATGTGCTGACAAGGAGAATTTGTTACACAATCAAGAGCTTCTTCAGTCGGTGATCATTTCCTTTATTCTCCTGACCTTATTGTTTGCTTCAAGGGTGATATTGTAAGGAGAAATTAGATGCTAGTCCCTCTTAAGGTTAAAGGGTTCACTTATCTTTGAAAAAAAGAGACATTAGGCATACATAAGGCATACACTGTCCTATTAGTGCTCAAATTGGGCTGGTGGTAACCGATCACATTTGAGAATTTTGTTATCATTTTGAATAACAGTGTACTCCTGTATTCTGTAGGTTCAAGTGACAGTACAGTCAAAGTGTGGGATATTATAAAACAATACTACACACACAATTTTAAAGGGTCACAAGGAGTAGTAAGGTCAGTTCAATTCAAGGTTGTCATCTGAAGCAAGTAGGTGGTGGAAACCTGCTGGGTACCATACCATTTGGCGCTGACTTACTTTATGAATTGTGATCAAAGACGGTATTTTTTAACTGATTCTAATACCATAATCTGGTTAAAATAAGTTTCTTAAATATGCCCTAGAATGCTGGAAATCAATTACCTCAGAGAGTTTGAAATCTCAAAGTTTGCTAGAAGAGCATTCCTACACCCCTTTTAGCACATTGCAGAGCAACACACCCTGCCAGGGAGGTCTAAGCAGCTGTCTTCTCAGTTCAGATACATACATACAGATATACATACTTTATTGAGACTCCCTTCTACAGGGCTTTTCGGTCACAATGTTAACTAACTTATTTACTGTAATTTAATTAAAATCAAATGTATTTAAAATCATTCAAAGTATATCCAAATTTACTGCATATAGAACATAATTATTGTTAAAAAGTTTCCGCTTAAAAATATCAATATCTTTAGTATTCCTAATGTTGTCAGGTAGACCATTCCATTGCCGTAGGCCGCGAAAATTAAATGCCCTTTGTCCCATCGACAATCTACATCGGGGGATCACAAAATCATTACATCCCCTTGTGTTCCTATTGTGAACTGCTGAACGCTTAACAAAATATTTACGTAAATAGTCTGGAGCTAAACCATTTACACCTTTATATGCTAAAACTAAATCATTAAATAAAACTTTTTCTGTAACATCTTACCATCTAAGAGATCTCCGTCCCTGAGAGATATGTTCAAATTTCCTTAAACCTAATACAACTCTGGCAGCAAAATTTTGTATCAGATCATACACCTGTTACATTTTTTAGCTACAACCCTGAATTTTGTAGTAAGAATATGAGTGGGCATTATCAAACTACATACATTGTATTCTCAATTTGCTTGCAAAACAAACTTGATTTTATACCATTGATCACATTCATTTTTTTGCTCTTTATTACAGCTTAGTTTCATTTCATCCCAATACAAATGCTCTTCAGCTCTTCTCGGCATCAGATGACTGCAAGATACGAGTCTGGGATTTGAAGAAAAGCAGGTATTGACTTGATGTTCAATAGGATTAATCTCTGGATAAGATTGTACATCTTTCTTCTAGCTGTCTTAGATTTCCTTGTAAAATAGCAATTAAAAGTTTGAGTATTTGGCATTTTAACAATAAGACAACCAAAATTGTTTTTTTTTTTTCCAACTCTCTCTGATCAGTTGAGTTTTAAATGTCATGTTATCTTATTTGACAAATCATGAAACCTGGAGAAAGTAAACATTTTTTTAAGTGAAGAAGAATAAATTTATCAATTTGAATATATAAAAATCATATGTGTGTACTATGTTTTCAACTAGCATATTGACCAGCTCCCAGTTGGCTTTTTAGCTCATTTGGTAGAGCACTGAATCAGTATTGCTAAGGTCATTTGTTTGAATCCTGTGCGGGCCTGAATTTTTTTCAGGCCTTATTTCCACTACTACATAAGTAGGATTCATTACTGTGAGGCTTGCCTCCGTACATGAGTAAATTAAAATGAAAACCATTATCCTGCTTTCATCCTCTTGTGTGTATTTGAAGTCCAAGACTGCATAATTTACTAATTATTATCATGATATGGAAGATGTTTGCCCAGCAAAACAATACTTGCACTTACAGTGTAAGCTTATTTAACACTTCACACACTAACATTGGTATTGATGTACTCCACAATGCTCTCTCTCTACATTTCCTATGGTTTTGACAAAGAGAATTTATGTGACAATCAAGAGCTTCTTAAATTAGTGATCATTTTGATTGTTTTCATGACATTTACGCTTGATTAAGAGTTGAAGCCACAAGGAAACATCAGCAGCCCTACACTCTTAAGGATCAAAGAGTTAACTGTTAACAGTGTTTGAGTCATAGTTGCTGCTGGTCTATTGAAGTTTAGTAAATTTTTATCTACTCAAGAACATCTCTCTCTTTTTTTTTTTTTTTTCAGATGTGTTGCTGTTTTGGAGAGCCACTTCAGTGTTGTGACTTCTCTAGCATTCTCTCATTCTGGAGAAATTATGATAAGGTACATGTATGTAATTTTAGTTTGTTCTGTAGGCTAAATGTCATTACATGCAGATAATCAAGACATTGCACAGTTAATGAAGAGGTTGTACAGCTCTGACCAGTCAGAGGAACAAATCCATCATTTAATTTACAACATCTACATGTATATGCATGCGCTTGTACACTGTAGATGCCTTCGTGGATTAACTGGGCACATTATCGGCATTGCTTTTTGACTGATCACTTAAAATTAAGAGAAACTTTGTATTTATTCTTTTCCTTCCTCTTCAGCTCAAGTAGAGACAATGTGCTTAATATGTGGAATATTTCTGACAAAAAATTGCAGAAGACAATTCCAGCTTTTGAGGTATGAAATTACTATTCCCTGGTGAGGGTTTTGTCTTTTCTCTTTGACTTTCCTTATGTCTGTTCAAATGAAAGTTATTCCTTCTGTCTGATATGCTTTGTCCAAGGGCTAATGCTTGAAATTTCAGCTTTAAAATCTTTTCATACTGTAGTCAATTTACATTATAGACTAAGAGGATTAAAACAAAATTCGGTATGCTGTAATGTCACCACAGTTTCTTTGCAATTTTACCCCCTATTGCATAATAAATTATTTATCTGTCCATTTGTCTGTCTTTTGGTTGTCTGTTATTCTGTCAGTCAATCAGTCTGCTTGTCATTTCCCAGTGATTTAGCATAGGGAATATTTTTGGTAAAAGTATGATAACCAGTAGTTAGCAATATTGTGTTTGATCTTGTTAGGGCATAGAGTCAGTAATTACTCTGCCTAAAGCCAGCAGTTGTCCTGGGTGCAAAGATAAGGAGAAAGAGTATTTCATGACTGCAGGCAGTAAAGGTATGACTCCTTGATTAAATATGATGTATTGTTCTCCTAAATCATAGAGGTGATTAACATGTAACTTCTCCATAAGATATCCAATATATTACTCAACAAACAGGTAATGAGAATACTCAAACTTATCAGCTAGAAGTTGTTATCTTGATCAAACACCAATTTTTTTTTTTTTTTTAACCTAGAGTTGTTAACCTTTTCACTCTTTCTTTGCAGGTCAGCTTAGGGTTTGGAGTTTCCAAGATGGTAAATGTGTTTTTACCCAGACTGTTCTCAGTGCCAGGAGTAATAAGGGTAAAGACAATAATGACGAAGATGTCAATCAACAGATTGTTCATGCCACCCTATGCAAGAACCTGGGTCAAGTTGCTGTGGTCACTTTTGATCACAATGTTGTGTTTCATGAGCTGGAATCATTGAAGAGAACTAAGCAGGTATGTTAACCCAAGATATCTTAAGGAATTCTTCCTATTGTCTGTCATACAGAGCTTATGATGTTTCTTTGGAGAATTTGGCATCTGATCAACTAACAACTTCATAACTGATATTGTTCTTTATTACATCCATTTTAAAATCACTGGTGGTCCCTGTAATCTGATTGGCTCTAATTGGTGCGATTTATTCACGATTCGCACCATTTTTTGCTCTAAATTGCATCATTTTATGCTTGACTGAGTTTTTGACACAACGTGAAAGTCGTTCTGTTTTGCATACAAAGTAAGATGTAAAAGCGTCTCTGGTTCCGCTTTTTATTTAAAAACCGGCTCAGTACTGCATCAATAAAATATTTGAATTCACCAAGTCCTGTATTTCAGCGATTTCAAAATGGATGTGATAAAGT